ATGGAGCCACTGAGATGGAGAGGCATCCGCGGGCATGAAGCAAGAAGGGACAGAGAAGAAGGCTGACGTCGACCCACTACAGGTCACAGAGACAGCCGCAGCAGGAGAACTCACGAGGGAGGGAAGATGCCACTCTAGCAGCAGCAATTGCAGCCAATGCCTTCTCGACGGAGCATAAGATGGCATGCACATTGATTGCTGACAGAGCCTCACGAGCACTGCTGGGTCCAGTAGTCGTGGGAACATTCTGTCACGATAAGCCGTTGACATGGCAGGAAGCAGGAAGGATCCAAATGCAGGACTGGTGCAGGTAGTTTATTTCAAAGATCAATATTCTAAAAACCAGGACAGAAGCATACACATAGCAGAACTGAGCTGAGAACAGGAACAGAGCTGAGCACAGCAACAGACTAGGAACAGCTACAACATAATGCTCAACACAACGCAGACACGGACAATACAGAGCACAATGATCCCACAAGGCCAGAGTGAGGGAGAGAGGTATACAGTATATGCAGGGAGCACCAGGTGACACAAGTGAGGCTAATTGCAGAGACACAGGTGAGTGTGATAACACAGATTACCCTACACAGCAGACAGCAGGAACAGGAAACAGACAGACCTTACAGAAGAAATGCCCTAATTATTGAGCCACAGCACTAAGGCAAGATGTTTTTTTACACTGCAATGCTTTGAACTTTTCAGTGTCTTAAAACTGTGCTTGATATATGAAATAGTCTCACTAAAAATTAAAAGATATAAGGTTTGAGCGATCAAGGTTAAGGCTGTGTGTTTAGAGAAGGATAAAAAGAATCAGGCAGTTTGTAGTTAAAACTGGCTGGTCATCATTGTTATGTCTGCCAAAATAAGAATAACCCAAAGCAACTACTACAGAGCCCCTAAAGGGACATGTGGAAAAAAAAGAAAAAAGAAACATATCTTGTGCTCACAAGATACTTTCTCGTGAGCACGAGAAAGTATATCTGAGACATTTTGCCACACAAACATACAGGGTAATACATTTAAAAAAACAAAAAATCTAATATATTGGCATGTCATGCATGATTTATGTACTGTATATATGGTGAGCATTTAATTAATGTAGGGTACCTCAGTTAGACACAGGAAGGCACTGTTGTTGTTGTTGTTCTACTGTTGATAACAGTGTAGGGAGGTTTGTGAAGGGTAAATACCTATATACGTAAATCATTAATAACTATCGACTCTACTACGCACATTTTCCCATTTCTTGGGTCTTGAAAAGCAACGACTGCGACAGGAGAGGGACCAGTGTATTTCGTGATAACTTTCACGTAATTACGTGATGTCTGTAAAGCACACTGAGTTTGCTTTGTGCATGAAATGTGCTCTATAAATAAAATGGAAATTAATTAAATGATGAAAGTCCACCTGAGAGCCAAGAATACTGTATGGTGGCTTGCAGGAAATATGGTATAAAGATTTTTATTAGTATGCATACTCTCAGAAGAATGAGGAGGATGAAGGATGAGGATGATTTACGTATATGCGTATTTACCCTTCACGAACCTCCCTACACTGTTATCAACAGTAGAACAACAACAACA